CGTATGTCAGTGACCCTTTATTATTGCAGTAGATGCAGGCAAGCTGCATCTTCCCAATGATGACGGAAGGCTGAACTTATCCCTAAAGAGCCAAAGAAACTCTTCCTTAATTAGATGTCATACATGTGTAAGGCCTTTGCTGCTGGATGGACCATTTCAGTAGGTGGGAAGCAGAACAGCATAGCCTTTTAGGTGCAATTTTGGTGCAGCTTGGTGGTTATATGGGCATACTTCTACACACACTTTTCCTTTTGTGCCAGTGGGCTCCTGGGGCCTTCCCTGAGGTCCCCCTCAGGTGCTAATTTTGTTAACCTGCTATGCTAAATACTGATTATTTTCAAATAACACACTGTTGCTCAGCAGAAGCACTTCAGTAGCCTCTTCTTAATATCAAACATGAACTGCATATATTTAGTATCTCTAAAAATCTTTCTCTAATGATGATTGTGGCCATGGGGATACTAGTGTGGGGATGGTATCTGTATTCAAAAACTCAGCTCAAGTTTGAGCGCTGTGAAGTAACAGCCATGATAACTATTTTTTCTCTGGTCTTATTTATTTTACCAAAATATCTATGGAAAAAAGCTGAGTTAAAACACTTCAAAAGTGTTTGCTGGGAATGCTTTGAATAATGATTTAAAGTTTAATATATCAAATACAAAGTAGGAGAAATTACAATGCCACATTTTCTTACAGAGTTTTTATTAAGAACAAAATTACTTATTCAGACTAGTCTATATAAATCACAGTACGTTTTTTTACTCGTGTATAGAAGATTGTAATACATAATATAAAATTAAGAAACTCTTTTATCCCTCAAACCATCACTGCAAATGGAATCATGCATTATTTCTACTAAACAAACAAAATGCCCAGATAATTGAGAGCCTTGATACAGGTGTGACCCTATTCTCCAAAATCAGACATGAAACAGAGATACAAGGACTATTTATAGAACAAGGAAGATTAAAAGTATAGTACAATGTTCATGTGAGATATATATATTAAAAAAATTATAGCAAAACAACAAAGCTCTCTTCACATACCTTTGCAATGGATATTAAAAATGACAGCTGGCCAGCATGCAACTGAACAAATCATTTCAGGTTTAAAATGGCTACATTTGAGCAAAGGAAGGAAGAACTCAAATAAATAAATAAAGGACAAAAGCCCCTAACAGCCCAGCTGCTTACAAGTCCTCTTGTCATCCTCCTGCTCTGTGCCAGGTGTGCTGTGCACAGTCACCAGTTGAGGTATATCCTGGTGATGCCTTTCCTGAGTAGTGTCTCCCCACTGCATTAGTGCTTTTCCCACACCTTGGAGAAGAACAGGGGTCCTTTCAGGGAACTGAAGGACCCTGGAGTGCTTACAACTTGCAGCTGTAGTTCCTTGTCCAACCCACTGTATTAAAAATTAACTTTTAATGCAGCACTTCAAACTCTTCAACCCAGCATGTGCAGGACCCTTCTAGGGTCATCTGCACCTTACACAACTTGCTGTATGTGCTCTGAGGCTGTCACTTCACAGCAGAATACTTCAGAGCAGCAAGAATCAAGGTGAAGTTAGCATTTTTTTTAAAAAATGTTTTACAAATTCTATTCTGCTGCCACTTTTTTCCATCACAAAGTGTTTTTATTAAATCCCACAGTATAAGCTTACTTTCCCTATATGCTTTTTACCTCCTAGATTTAAAAAAAAAAAAAAAAAAGAAAGAAAAGTTATTGTTTCCCTGTTTGATAATGGGCAGTAATCATTTGACTATGCATTATGCTAAACAGAAGGAAACCTTTAATTGATGGCATTTTGGACTCGGCCACCTATTGTATGTTTTTCATTTCCTTTTGTTTAAATGAATACAAAATGTATTACCAGTAATATAATATCAGACATATTTCTAACTGGGTCAAACAGACCTTCTGGGCAGTTTACAGTCCTTCACACTTATTGGTTTTATTGTTTGCTACTTTTAAGCCAAAAGAGACGTATTTTGGTATTATGGCAAACAGGTCCCCTCAGTGCTCTCATGTTGCCAAGTGATAAAAATGTAAATATGTCCCTTGTACCTCTTAATTTAGGTCTTCAGTGTTGATATAGCTACATGTGATGCTTGATTTTTTTTTAAAAAAAAGCTTATGAGTTTGCTGAAAAATGATTGTCTTTTATTCGCGCTTCCCTTCGCCCCAGACGAGCGAACTAAAATCTTTTACTTTTTATGCTGTCCTGTGTTGTTTCATCCAGAGCTGAATCAACTGTGGCTCAGTTTGGCTGTATACCATTCAGTTCTGCTAGTGGGAGAGTTAAATTAGAGTGCTGAAATGTGTGTTGGCTGGTAGGGGCACACTGAGCTGTGAACCTTTTTAAATAGGTGTCTAGTTCCTGTTCTGGTTGACCTTGCTTCCCCAGATTGAGAAGCATGATCCACTACTAGGATCACATACAGGGAAAAATGAAAGAAAGCAAAAATACCTTTTGTGTTTTTGGTGAAAATGGATGACAAGATATTCCTGTACTCAGTTGCAGAAGGGTGGTGCTGTGAGTTGTAGTGTAAGAATTTCACAGACCTGCCCATTATAACCTGTCTCCGTGTTAGTATGCTGGAAGACTTTCTCATTGACAGTCATTGCTTTGTCATGAAAGAATAACTGAAGTGCTGGTTTGTTTTGGAAAACTGCAGGTTACAGTTTAACAGCACATATTTGATGAGAGCAGCAGGATTAGCTTCTTGCTGAGATGCATTTCTAAGGGATTTCATTTTCTATTTCAGAATAGCTGTAGTAGTCATGAAGTATAGTTGTGCCTTCACAGGAAATAAGAAAACAAGTGAGGATTTGGGGTTTGGAATTATATTTGAGATGTACTACTAAATCATGTTTGGGAAACATAGTTCAGAAAAGAGTGAAGGTTGTTGGAGTGAGGATTATCTCTGTCTCCAGTTGCTTTTGTAGCTGTAGATCCTCTGTTCCTTCCAATGTACTGCTGTATTATTGTACTAAACCGCAAAGGCAGCGGCAATGTGCTGGCCCACCAGAACCACGTTTGTGAGCAAATGTAGCATTGGTTAAGTGGAGCATAAAGGTGAAGAATGAAGTATGCTAATATATGAGTGACTATCATCACATACATACTGCTCTTATAAGGCAACTCTTAAAAACCATAGTAATGTCCGAGTGTAACAGTTTACAAGTCATGAACTAGAAAACAAGTACAATAATTTAATAAAAGCAGCCTTTCTTTCTAGTCTCTAAGCCTTTGAGGTGTCATAGATTCTGCTTTAAATGCTCAGTGAACACAGATTTTTTTTTTTAAATAACAGAATCAAATCAAAAAAAAATTCAAAATCATTCTCTTGCTGTCAGCCCCTTGAGCATTAAATAAACTGAGTATGGTAATAAAATTAAACACTAGCATTTATAAAGATACAATTTTTTTGTTGTTGTTCCTGCCCCTTTGAGTTGTTAGGAGACAAATCTTAGAAACGCTTCTATACTCAGCTATGGAGAAAAAATGAGTCTGCTGCATAGGTGTTCCCTTTTTTACAGAGCTGTACTGCTATTACTGCCTTCGAAATAGCGGTTTCAGTGGGAAAGCTGCCTGCCTTGCATTACAAGCAGGGATGTGTGTATCATGATTTGTCCAGGGAATCAAGCACTCTACTCCAAAAGAGCCAATCCGCCCTCTGCTTATGCGTATCTCCTCACATGGGCTCCTGAGAATTGTGTCTGAGCAGAGTGCAGGATTCGCCTCAAGTGAGCTTTGTGCATGAGCAGATAGGAGCACTGTGCTATACCACTGGCCTGCTAATACAGTAATCTATCAGCTTCAGTTGGAAGTCCAGTGAAATGGTTTTATATTTGTATAGAAGTATTCCTGTATAAATATTTTATATATTTTATATTTATACAGTTTATATCTGTGTTGTTTTTTCTGGACACGCCCAGTTTTCTATGTGGAATTTTTGTTTGGGTTGTGAAGTGTTACTATGCATGGTAATTTCAGCTGTTCCAAACAGCTGCTGTGTCTGGAAATCCAGGTTGCTTCACAGTATGTGCTATGGCTGAATAGCTTGAGGTTTTGCAAAAGCATTAGATTTGCAGGACCTGTGTTTTGTAGCTGCACTACGTTTATAGGAGGTCCAGCACTGTAGAGGTCAAAGCATGCTTTACCCATCAGCAATCCTGATTTTCAAAAGATCCTCAACTGATACATTATGAAACTTTTTTCTCAGATCAAATTTTTGCATGTTTCTCCAGTCTCTGCATACCTATTTGTATCAGCTCAATTGTAAATCCCAGGTGCTTGGCAAGCCTTCATAATGACTTGAAAGCAGTGCATGTGTGCATAAACTCATGGGAACTGTGTAAAAAGACAAGAGGTCCATACCTGTATGTTTGTTTTGGGTAAAATATCTTGTAGGAAATACACATACTTTGCATGTGCATTTATTTAACAAAAGTTCCAATAAAGACACTTGAATCAAATGGCAAAATTTGAAGGCAGAGTTAACCCTTTGCATGCCTACATCGCCATCAAACAATATTTCAGTAGCTCTTTTTCCAGGATACTTTATTTCATGTGAAAGAATTTAGTGCTTTGATGTATTTGTTTAATGGTTAGTTTGCCAACAGTTACAATATATTGTCATGTAAGATGGATCTGTTAGTTCTACTGCAAATCGTGAGATGTTCACAAGCAACATGTACTTGGAACAGCATTTTAAAACGGCAGTAATGCCAGTGCACAATTACACATATCATGAAGTGTCACTATGATATGCTCCAACTTTTTTCAGTCTCATGGATGTAACTAAGAAATGTGCCTGGAAAATTATCTATAGAGACCAAGGACTAGCAACCTCCATGTTATACAGATAGTTGTTATCTTTCTGGAAAACGAGTGTCATTACAGATGCCATACGTATCTTCTCACCCAACAGAATATAGCTTTTGACTTTTCAGATTTGGTGGATTTCTGCATATAACGGTATTTTCCTTTTATATAAGATGAAAGGAGGTAGCAGCTGAGACTGAGGACACAACTCAACATCAAAAACAAATGTCTTCTGACAATCATTCTTGAAAAAATCGATTTACCAAGCTATCCATTACAATACTGAATCTTTTTGAAAACACCAGAGCTAGGTTTGGTGTTGTTTCAGCTACTTGTTGGTTTTCATTGCTATTTTGTTACTTGTAAAATCTGGTTAGTTTAATGAACAGAGCTTATGACTCCAATTTGGGCAATGCTTATGACCACACAAATAGTCTGCAGGTAGCAATAGAGTCAGCTGATGAATTAACGCTACAAATGGATGACATTGCATTATTTGAAACCAACAGCACTTCACACAGTAGATTACTGAGGGTCCTATTCAGCAAATATTCAGGGTCCTGTGACTGTGGCCACAGAGGTTCCAGAAGCTCTCGCTGAGTCTAATCCTGGTTCAGGAACCAAAATGATATGCTGTGTATGTATTTCTCTGCACAGCTTGGATGTGCTGGACACCCTCCCCCACTTGATTCCTGGGAAGGAAAAAAAAATATGTCTGGTTTTAGCTCTGTGACATGTAAAATGATTCACAGTAATGACATCTAAAGAAGTTAGCCAGGCATGTATGAAAAGAACAGGATGCCTGTAAGAAAGGGAAGAGCTGTCAAAGCTTAATTGTGGGCTCTGGCTGCAATAAAATTTATTAAGGGGGTGAAGCAGGTTGGATATAAGAGTGTGTAGCCAACTATCAGTAGCTAGCTGAGGACACGAGAAAATGGACAGAGCTCTCAATTTGCTGGAACTGTTCCTTGGTGTTGTAATCTTCTGCGCTCCTCTTTGGCAGCGATTGTGCATGTTGGCACTGTTCCTGCCCTGAAAAGGCCCCGTGCCCTCCAGCTGCAGTGGAGCTTGTGAGGATGCACACACTGCCCTGCTGTGGTCAGCAGGCACCGGTTATGGAGACACAGCACTTCTGTGATGGTTTTGCCGATATAGTATCTTCCCATTGCTTGTCACTTATTGAACCTTCTCTAGCTGGTGTTTACACCAAAGTAAATGAAGTCCTCAGCTGCATTCTGGTGACATGACTCTACTCTGGTGCAACAACATATGCAGAGAGGCTGCCAGCTACCTGTTTCTGTATGTGAGATGTTTATGGCATGTATGGCACTCTTTTCTAGCTTTCTAGCTTTGTGGCTGCTCATAAATACAGTAGTTTCTTCTGAGTGGGGTTACTATCTGACTTTAGCCAGTGGTAGTAAAAGTAAAGGGTGGAAGCTCTTGGGAAGCTATTTAGTCAGATCTTTGGTGAATTTTTGTGCCTCATAAATCAGGGTTAGCATTCTCTGTATTGGGAAGGGAGCAGGGGTTAGGCAGAGGGATTAAAAGGACGTCTTTACCCCACTGGACTCTGGAATAGCCCCTGAGGATATGGCTAAGAAAGAGTTCAACAGGAATTCCAGATTTCTGCTGAATAGGTTATAAGGGTGAGGAAGCCTCTTCGGCAGCCATCCAAACGCAGAAGACCTGCATAACATTTCTGCTGAATAGGGCCCTAAAGACAAAAACAAAACAAACAAACAAACAAAAAAAACATAGGAAGCTTGAAAAGATTTTTTTCTCTTGGTGTGGCTTCTGATTAACGCCTCAGATCTCCAGAGACAATTAAACTTTTTTTTTTTCTTTTTCAGTGCAGCTAGACAGTCTTGAGGTGTGCCAGTGGCATGGATATAGTGTTAATAGTCAAATTAGTTTGTTTTGTATAAAAGTCACAGGACTCTATTTGGTCCTTAAACAAGACCCGTTAATTTATATAAATTATCAGTGAAAGTTACCTGAGATTCTATTTGGGGAGGGGGGAAGGGGAGGGGAAAGCCTTGTCACCTTTACCAGTGCTTAAAGTCTGGGTTTCAATAAGTATGTTAAAGATAAAAGGGCATATTTTCAGTCCCCCTAAAATTGAAAGGAGCAGACTTTACTTTCATGTTGTATTTGACTTTTATTACTGGTGTTTCTAAGCCTTTTCCTAGGATTGAGAGTATATGAGTGTCTTTGTTCGTAAGATTTTTGTCCAACTTTAATGCCATATGGAAGAATCTTCACAATTGCAGCAAAGGGGAATCAAGAAATAAGTCTTACCTCTGCAAGAGGATGCCAGTGAGCAATGGGTTTCCGAGGGTACGAAAGCATTTCGTTCCAGTGGTCGCGACCTAGGCTTTCGGCGTCGTTGCCTACTTGACACACTCCAATGACCTCATTGTGACCTACACTGTGAAAATGGTCCATAATATTTTTTTCTTAAAATTTACCTTTAAAACCATAGCACTTACATATTTTATTAAACATTTTAATCAAAACTTTTTAGAATTAACTCTTGCTGGGAAAATGTAGTGAACTATAAAATAAAGGTTTTGCTTTTTGCACCTTCCAGCTAATCAAGATAATATTTTCTCCATTATAGCATACACCATGCGTCTGCAAGAGCTTGTGTCTTAGGCCTTATTTTTGTATGAGTAGTGTAGGAAGCTCTTTATTCATGTTCTGTAATTAGTTGCAAGTATGAGTAAATTCTCAGTAAAGGCAAGTTTGTCTCGGAGGAGTTAGCACGCTTGCGTGCAAACAGGAGATCAGTGTGTGCATGGTCTGATTGTGTTTAATCATTTTCATCCTGAAAAATACACATGCGTGTCAATTTTGTCAGCTATAGATGCAAATACATACTTTAAAATTCGGGAAGGAAATTCTGCCTGTAAATTCAAGAAGTCTTTGTGTTTGGTCAAAATCATCATGACAAAATATTTAGTTTCCCATATAGTGGGGAAAATAACAACTTTGTTCCTGGATGCTAATCTAAGTCAATAGATACTGTTATTTTACAGCTACAGGTATCTCACCGGTCATAATCCATAACAGCTATCGACAAGTTAATTTGGTCAATATTTTCTGGAGGAACATCAAAGACTATGGCTTCATTGTAAACAGGATTAAGGGTATTCCTCTTGGTAGAAGTTTTCCTTTTCTTTAGTCGCCTTCCTTCACACATTAAAGAAACTTTCACGTAGGGATCTGTATGAATCATAAGAACATTGATTTTCTTTTGTTGTTGTTGTTTTTTTTTTTTAAGCAAACACAAACAGAAAGTAAAGGGAGTTGTCACCTTGTGTATCATGGGTAGAATTTGAATTTCTTTGTTACACTGGACTGTAACACTGCCTGGGGGGCAATGGCCATTCTGCATGAATGCTTATTATAAACAATATAGGTTCAAGGAGCTTCTTGTTGTGAGCTGATTTCTCAAAGGTATTAAAATATCCACTGAATGATGTTATATATGACTTTTATAAACAGCTTTTGTATCAACCCACCTAGGATAGCCTGATTATTTCTTTGGATTTGTAGGACACAGAAGTATCATGGCAGTATCATGCACATTATGATTTGCTGATTTGTGGTTGAATACAATTACAGTTATCAAAGTGTGATAATTAAATGACTTATTTCCCAAGAGAATTACAGTTATTTTTGAAGTTCAGAATGTATTTAAAAAAAAAAAACTTTGTAGTTGCTTTCTTGCAAGCTCTACAAGTCCATGCTAGCTGAGTGCTTATTTCAGTTTCTTATTTTGAATCATCAAACAGTTGCTGAAAAGGGTTTGGGATGGTCGTTGTGTTGTGTATATACCAACAAAGCAGAATTGGCTCAGGGGCTTTTGGAGTTGGGTTGGTTTGCCTCTGTGTCATGGCTGTAACAACCTTCTGTCATGAAACCAACTTCCTGATGTTATGAACACAAGTTGGCCAACTCTTGCTTTTCTGAATCGTGGTGGCTTTAGAAATGATGATCTTTTTCTAACAGCAGATTATTTTAAGCTACTCTTCACAATGTCACAAACTATTTGCTACTTATATTACTTAGTTTTCAGAAACCTCTATGCTCAAGTGATTCAAGATCTTGCACTGTAAGGACCCTTTCTCTCAAAAAAAGATTTTGTGTGTTGACAGAAATGGAGTTTTATGAGGGAAAAGGGTCAGAAATTGGGTTGAACATTAAATAAATTCCTACCTGATGCTCCTGTGATATCCATTGCCTTTAAGTTTCTTGCTTTTATTATTGTAATAGTTAGTCTACCAGCTGTTGGAAGGTAGCAGAGTGAAAACATCAGGTCACCAAGATCCACATTATCCTGTTCCAGGAAAAGAGAGACAGTGTGAAGCTGTAATAAGAATTCTGCCTACACATCATCGTAGAAGGCAAAGAGCAACTAAAGATAAAAAATAAATAAATAAATAAATAAATAAAGTTTGGGGATCTACAGTTATCCAAGCAAGATCTGCAGTCTCATTCTGAAACATACTGTGGAAAAAAATATATGCCTATCTATACATAAAGTGGAAGTTGTTATGCTTGTTGCTAGAACATCAATATTGTCAAGTGTGAGTGTGGTTGTAGTATTTTAGTAGTTGGTCCTGGAGATGGAGCATATTCAAGTTTAGGTACAGTGTGAAACATTGAGAGATCTTTGTTCTGCATCTTTTGTGCTGATTTGAATTTAACATTGACAGATTGCAGCACATCTTTGCCTTTCCCTCCAGTTTGCAGAAGAATAACCATACTGAGGTTCACAGAGATAGAATAACCATATTGAGCTTCACCACAGCAGTGGTCAGGCAGAGCAAAACTTTTTGCAGCTCTCTCTGTGCCCAAAATGCCTTTATAAAAGAAGGTGAGGATGGGATAAAATATTGTAGAAAATGATTTTTTAGTATTCAGTGTGCATTTTTTGCCTGAGCAGTAAGGCTGGTACTTTTATAGACTGATTACCTGTACCCCCAACATGTTGTTCTTGAGGTAAAAGAATCTTTTCTAGCAAATTTCAAGCCATATTTGATGTTTTATAAGGAAGGGAAATGCTGCTGTTTCCAACTTCCAACCTCCAACTTCCCCGGAGCTTTTTGAAGTAAGGGTTGGGGATGGCCCAGGTGTGATGCACAGAGTTGTCCTTGGGTTTTCTATGTCCTCTGCAGAAAGCCTGCCATGTGGTGTGGGGAAAATAACTGCAGCATATCAAATGTCAGAGGAATGACCAGACAACTTCAGCATGGCAGAATTAAGTTCTATGTCCTAATGCTTCTGTGTTTTTTCCACTCTGGTATGTAGCACACATGGTCTTTGCTTGTCAGTCATGTAGGTCATAGTTGCATCAAACCAGTCCTTGGCATAAAATAACAGGGTGAATTGGAATTTTGAAGAAAGCTGGTGATTATGATTAAGTCTCAAGAAAGCGACTGACTTGCAGTTCCCTTTAAGCTCTTGATTCTCACCATCTACCTAACCTCTAAGCACTCCTTAATTTTTGCCTATGTTAGTCTGTGAAATTTGACACAGTCTACAGAGAATGTCACAAAGGAGATATTCTAGCTTGAGCCCTTTGGGTATTTTGTGGTGCTGTCCTTATTGTTAAGTTCTCCCTGTCTTGACCTAGTGATCATACAGACTAAATCACAGGTAGCAAATTGAGTGTGCTCAGTGCAAAAAGCTCAGTGTCTATGGCTAAGAGTCCTTAGAAGCTGTGTGGATACTAGCTTTTGTCTAGTGCATATGTGCCTCTTACCCTTTTCTTCTCCTTTTGCCCCTATAACTCACCCCAGGAAATACAAGGTGGTGCCTGCTGTAAAAGTAAAAATACCTGAGAACAACTCCTAATAGAGTAGTGCTTGTCTCTGAGCGAAATGAGCTAGATACTGCTTAGATCCACGCCCAGGGCTTGTGTGGTCACTATATGTGGCCTCATAAGTTCAGGGGAGACATTCACGACAGAGATAATTGCTCTAATCAGAAAGTATCTCTAGAGATAACTTGATGGAATACCTCCCTCAAGACAAGGGTCGCTGCTTTAGTTCCCCTCAGCTTGTGTAAAGGGAAAATATGTGCATTCAACCAGGGAAATGGATCTCCTCCTTGTGTTGCTGCTGGAGAGCAGCTGTCAAAGTAAAAAGCAGATGATACAAGCGCTTTGTCAGTAATAAGTAGCTTTTAACCCTGACACACACAACTGTCAACTATGATCTCTTCCACTCTAGAGATCAGTGTTTTGTGGTGGCTGTAAGGTTGTGACAATATCAGGATAGCTGATACAACTCACCCTGTTTAGTTTCTTCTCATGGGGTATACTTGGAAGCACACCTGCTGCAGTTCTTTTTGACTAGGGAGGATCCAAGGAGATGCTCTAAGATGCTCTAGAGGAATTTTTTTTGACTAACATCTGCTCTCAACTTTAAAGGAGGCATAATTAATCTGTTTTCCCAGTGGTCATATAACCTGGGAACAAGGAAGCAAAAATTGTACATATCCCTTCCCTTGTGGTGAAAAAAAACTTTCCAAATTTAAGTGCAGTTCCCCACTTCTGGAGTTCTAAAACTGTAAGCTGCAGGATTCTCTCTTGTGCTACTACCCATATAATTCTGTGAAGGAACAGAATTTCATATGCCATTCCCAGAAATTTTTGAGTGTAGCTTTATTGTTGCCATTCTGGGAATTTGTCGCATCAAGAAACACTTGTTAGAAATGTTTGATTTTAACTGCATTTGTACATGACCATGAGAGAGCCAGATGTATTCTCATTACGGAAGAATTCACGTTTTAAGATGACTGGAGAAAATATAAGTAGAAAATTCTATTTTTATGACATCTTAAATAAAAGAAGTCAACTGTACCAAAATTGGCATTTATTAATGCCTCAAATACAGGAATATGTCTGAGTAAAGATTGTGGAAAATGGGAATGGCCTATCTTTGGTAATTGTTCTTTCAATACATCAACTTCAGGCTATATTTTTTGTTTTAAATTACTTTGCAAATTGTATTATTAACTCAGTATGATTCAATTTTTTGCATTTCATTGACCATATTTCTTTCATTTTTACTTTGTTTTGCTTTTTAAAGTGAAGACAAGTACATAAGGAAACTTAGAGCTATGTATGCTAAAATGAGTCTTCTTTCTTATTAGAAAGAACATTACAAAACATAACACTGAAACTTGATTTCACCACAGTGAAGATATCTATAAAAGTGGAAGTGAATATGATTTTTCAGGTCAGGTCACAGATTGGCTATCAGCTTGCATGCCTATACAACTGTATAAAGTGTATTTACAGACGCTTATCTGATAAGAAGGGCAAAGAGACAAGATGAGAAAGGATACTAGAATCCCCAGTATTCCCCCAAGGGGTTGTCTGTGGCCTAGTACTTGTTATTTGGCACACATTGATAAAAATGAGATTCTTGCATGACTAATGTAATGGAAAGATGGAGTGTTAGATAAAGCATTTAAGAAAAAAATAATTTACAAGAGGGAAAGAAAAACACTTAGGGCTGCCTGCTGACCAAAAGATGGTTCACATTTTGTTCTTCAAAAATGTTTTCCTCTAACATGGAGGAAAGGTTCAATATCAGCCTTGCTGCACGATTTAACTTAAGCAGAGGATTCTGGAGCACCTTACAGTTGGACAGAGGTCTCTTAGCTGACAGACCAATTCTGGATGCTACACCTTCATGCTGTACTTCCTAGGGATTGAAAGCAGGAGCTTGGTATCCTCAGGGAGATTTTTTTTCCCTTTCCCCCCCATTTCAACTTTTCATGTTTTGTTTAGCATCTTGGCAATTTCTATCTAAATACACTATCAAAAGTAAAGCATTCAGGAGGTACTATCTTCTTGGTTATTTTTTTTGTTGGGTTTAAAGCAGTGTTTGCAATAAGTTTTGTGGCTTTTTGGACATCACAACAGTGTTCTTGTTTTTACTTCTTTTTCTCTTTGCCTCTGTGCTGCACCAAGTTCTGTTCATGAAGCTGTTTGCAGCACAGCAGGATGCGCAGGTTTGAGTTCTGTGCCTTTTGTTCCTTCTCAGTACTGAGCCCATCTATTGTCCAGTACTAAAGGCTGGAATTCATTTGCTAAAACTCCCTATACCGCAACAGGGCTGATACTCTAAGAAGGTACATTTTTGTTGCACAGGATGGGAAAGCGAGAAGCAGAAAGAATTTGATATATTGTTCAATATATTGTTTGTTAGTTTGGGGTCAGAAGGCCCAGAAAGTTTTCCTCTTCATTTGTTAGAGGAAACAAAGTTATGCTCTCGTGTCTATAATTCTCTGTCTTCACTTTAGAGCCTGGAGATCTTTGGAAGTAGGTCTTTGGTTTTTCCTCCTCTTTCCATCCTCCCATGTCATGACTGCATTTTTTTAAGGTGGATCATTCCAGTCCAAACAGGACTCTCCAGACACAACTCTGTTGTGTCAGTCAGTCGAGATAGCTTAGGATGTGGGTACCTGCAGTCAAAGTACTTGCTTGCCTTTCTTGTTTATATAAGGTTCAGAACAAACATAATTAATGTCTTTAGGAGGAACATACATGTTAACTTTCACTTGCCACGATGTCACTAGTAAATCAGAGACAAAGATCTTTTCCTGTAGACAGTCAGTGCACCTCTCAGACCTCAACGACACATCTCCACTGACATAATTTTTAATCACTGCCCTTCTACTTATAGAATATAAATTAATTGCCTTTCCAATCACTTAGTTGCATATTGTCTTCAGCTATCCAAACGCATTTATAGAATTTGTTCTTATTGAGCTGTTTAAGATATTATTGGTAAATTATGCTGATAAAATGCTGATGAATTATGCTGATGAAGATCTTTATTTTTAAAAGCTTCCATTCCACTTTAAAGATAAACTACATACATGTACTTGTTTTCAAACACATGCTAAAATCTTATAAATTTGAATGGGTTTGTATACTTACAGACTTTCAGTTCTACAGCTTAGAGATTAAAATGCTTTGCTGAATCTGGGCTGAAGAGTGAATTTAACAAATTATCCTATGGATATTGAGAGGGACGAAATGTCTTAATATATTCCCAACTAAATTGATGAACTAGGGAGATGGTCTGAACTGAGCTAAGGAAAATGAGTAGATAAATTATTGGAAAAGCTGGAATTACTTGTTCTTATGTGTGTTGTCATAGGAAAAAGTAATAAAGCATTTAGAAAATGAAACTTTTCTAGAAAGTTGAAGTAGTTTTTAATGTTCTTATAAGTTACTAGGAAGAGGAAAGAGTAGGTTTACAGAGTTATTTTTGAAGGTTTGCCAGATAGCATTGCTGGTCAAGAAGAGAAGTCAAT